CTGGCCTGATGCCAGAGAGAGAGAGGGACCTGACTCATTCATATTCTTTACATCAGAGAGCTGTAGACATCAGGGTCAAATGTGGCCCTTGATCAGTGAACCCCATACAGGGCTGACCTCATTTAACTCAGAGGCACAGCGGGAAAAACATTAGGGGAAATGAATGAACTTTACAGAGTGCCACATGAGCAACAGAACAAAGTGTGTCAGAGAAAAAGTGTGTGAGAGAGCATGGTTTGATTTTGAGGTATAAACGTAAATTGTGAATTTTATGATTGGGTTTAAAAATATTTTGTTTTCAGTATTACCCAACTTCTATCAAACTGAGAGGAAATTATTGAAGAATAAATGTTATTCTTAGAATAAAATATTCTAAATATTATTTGTAATATTATTATTACATAAATAGTATTATAATATTATAATCGATCCTATAACTGATAAACTATTTTTTTTAGGACTGACAATCATTACCAACTGACATTTTGCTCATATAGCTATTAGCCTAAATGCAATTGGTCCACATCGTTAGACACAAAATGTAATGACAATATTATTATTAAAAATATAATAATAATCATTTATTATCACTGAGATACAATTATAGTTTTTATAATTTGAATTCGTTTTTATTTTTTACTTTCAGCTTTTATTTAAAGTTTAGGCCAAGTCGTGTGTCGATCCATTTTTTCGTACGTTTTAAAAAAAAATACATCTATGTTGCATTAGTTTTTTATTTCAGTTTTCATTTGAGATTTTTCACTACATCGAATTAAACTAAACACTTTCTGCAGACATATAGTTGCATATTTAATAAGATGACGCCTAATTTGCATATTTTAAAGGGGTAAATTCCCAATAACTCATTCTTTTTGTGTGTATTTTTATATATTAAAGTTACATTTTGACAGAACCGCAAAATCAATTTTGCATTTAAAATACGTTTTTGGATGTGTGCAGACCACGTGCAAAATGCACTTTTGTGCGCGCAAAATTGTGGCAGAAATGTAAGCCCATATACGCCACGCCTGCCATGAGGCACACCACAATTTCATTATAAGCATCAATCAAGATGGCGGAGAAAAAATGAACATCTTGTTTTAACCACGGACACAAAAGTTATACCACAATTCATGCACAGTCATGTCACCCAGATACGGAGAGAGAGACAGTGCATCATCGTGATGTGTGATCGAGTGTGTTGACTGAAATAAGTTTGTATGAATAAAGTTTTTGTTTTTGGAGAATCATA